GATGATTGCAAAAGCAGCTGGCTAGTCCTTAGAGTCATGTGGTGAGCTTTCTAATTTTTCCCTCAATTTTTCTCATATTTTAAAATCCAAACCATGCAACCAGTTTAATAAAGCTCTGTAAGTTGAACATATACAATCTTCAAATAATTTAAAAATACATAAAATGTTCACCACGTGCCAAATACTGCTTGAAAATTTTTATATTTATAAATATATTTATGCACATTAATGTATACAGTGTTCATAGAAACCCACTGTGTTAGATACTATGATATTATCCCCATTTCAAATAGATACATGCATTTTCTTAATGGTTGTGTCCTTTGGCATATTAATTGTAAATGGGCTTGGACATGTTTTTCTTCTTCTTGGAACCTAAACAGGAAATAGCTCATTGGTTTTATCTGCCAATTGGTCTTCTTGAAGCTCTTGACTCTGTTCTTGGTTGGTTGTTTTTGAGACAGGGTATAAATAGGTATCCCAGGCTGATCTTGAACTCTTGATCCTTCTCTCTCAGCCTTCATGGTTCTAGGATTACAGGTGTGTACCATCACACCTGGTTCTTGTGTCCGCTTTTTAGATTCAGTCCCAATCCTGACACTAAAGGAGTTGGAACAGTGGGTATCCCCTTTGCCTGGAACTTGCAAATATGGCCTTGAGACTACAAAACTAAATAAATCATTGTGGGACTACTAGCATATAGGGACAGAGAATTCTATTTATTTTCTTTCCCCAACAACATATCCACACTGGTCCTTCTTATCTTGTACAACTGTATACTTCAGGGTTGGCATTTTAATATTTGTTGTACATGTTTTAAATTTCATGTGGACAAGGATCATATTTTGTTTTATGCTTTCATGGTGGCAGTATTAGTGTATATGACATATATTTAATCAGTGCTTTGTTTTGAATATGAAATGTCCCCCTAGGCTCATGTGTTTAAACACTAGGTCCCCAGCTAGTAACACTGTTTTGGGAGGATGTGAAACTTTTTTGTTTATGAGGCATAGCTGTCTTATTTACTCCACTGAGGGCAAGCATTGAGGATTGCAGCCTGACCCTGCTTCTAGCCTGTGCACTCGGTTTCTTGATCTGTCAAAACATGAACAAGCCATACCACAAACACCCACTGCTGTGGAAAGGGCTACTGCAGCTGCCACACCGTCCCTGCATGATGGACTGTCGGAATGATGGGAAAAGTATCTAATATAATGTATATCTGCTAGAAAGGGATATTTCTATATCTATGTCTATATGTCTATATAGGTGATAATATGAAGGGAAGAGGAATTTTAGGGGAAGCCTGACTTGTCCCAACTGGAAAATCCCAGCTGAAGGTCTCTCTACTATGAAATTTCTCACCTGAAGTGCAAAGATTGAATTTTTTATTTTTAGACTTGTTCTAAATAAATAAGGGCTGTAAATATGTTTAGATTTAAATGAGGTGTTACATTTTAATTAGATTAGTAATTTTCCCCCAAATCATCCCCGAATTTGAACTCTTATTTAGTTTTCCCCCCATTCTAAGCCACTTACTAGGATCAGATTTTCTTGACAATATTTCAAGTATTCAAAAAATTTAAAAAACTCATAAAGAATATAAATAAAATTAGGTAACTCCTAGTTTTGTGATAGTTATCAGACATAATTATCATTTCTGATACAATCGAATGGATAAATTACTTCCAGTAATGTATATTATGAACCATCAGAACACATGTAAGAGAAAATACCAGTACACATTTCAATGTTTTATTTTTAAATATTTTTTAATTTTTATTTTATGCATATAAGGGTATTGCCTGCATGAATGTAAGTGCACCCGTGTCATGCAGTACCTATGGTGGTCAGAAGAAAGCACCAGATTCCCCTGGAACTGGAGTTACGAACAGTCGTCAGCCACCATGTAGGCGCTGGGGAACTGAACCTGGGTCCTCTGCAAGAGCAGCCAGTGCTCTTAACTGCTGAGCCATCTCTCCAGCTCCCACACTTGAATAGTTTAATCAAATAACATTGATTGTAATAATGGTGGAAGATATTTGTGTGTGGAGTGTATGAGTATGTGTTCATGTGTGTGAGTGTACACAACTACATGAGCATGTGTGTAGGCTAGAGGTCAACATAAGGTGTCTTCCTCTTTGCTCTTCACCTTGTTTTTTGAGACAGAGTGTCTGAATCTGGAACTCACCATTTTGGCGAGGCTAGGCTGGTCAGTGAGCCCCTGGGATCTGTCTGTCTCTGTCCTCCTCCCCCAGTACCTGGCTTACAGACACTCTGGGCTCTTGTTTGGGTTCTGGGTATCTGAACTCAGATCTTCATGCTTGTACAACAAGCACTTTTCCAACTGAGCTATCTCCCCAGTCCTGAAAATATGTTTTAAGATAAAAATGGGGACTGGAGAAATGGCTTAGTGGTTAAGAACGTGGGCTGTTCCTGTAGAAGACCTGGGTTCAGTTCCCAGCACCCGTGTAGGGGCTAACAACCACCAATAACACCAGTTCCAGAGGACCCGACACCCTCTTCTGGCCTCCATGGGCAATGTACAACACAGATGCACTTAAATACAAGCAAGCAAAACACTCATATACATAAAATAAAAACTTTAAAAATAAAACAGAAAATAGGTATCTGGCTGAAAGATTCCTAATTAAGGAGTCAGAAATCTTAGGTTAATTTTTGATGCAGGGGGCACTGGAGAGATGGCTCAGCAGTTAAGAACACTGGTTGTTCTTGCAGAAGACCCGGGTGCAAATCCCAGCACCCACATGGCAGCTAACAACTGTCTGTAACTCCAGTAGATCTGACAGTCTCTTCTGACCTCTGTAGGCAGTGCACGACAGGAGTGCCCTTACCTACATGCAGGCAATACACCAATACACACATATACGTAAAATAAAAATAATAAATAAAACTTAAAAAAAAATTTTGATGTAAGAACATGTGTTTGGGCTGGAGTGAAAACCACCCATTTCAGTTGGGCTGGCTACCCAGTGGGCACTGGGAGGACAAAGTCAAAATAGACACAGCCTGTTCCCTGGGAATTTTAGTTTTGAATCCCCTGTGTTATCAAGCAACCTACTTATGTTATATGTCAATATTGACAGATTGGAGAGTACTCACTTTCATTAAAGAGTTCAGAATTGCTGGGCATGGAGGCAGGAGGATTTCTGTGAGTTTGAGGCCTGCCAGGGCTACATAGTGAGGCCCTTTCTAGAAAAATAAAAAACAAAACCCAAAATTTAAAGAATCCACAATACTGGGTCAGTTTATGATAAAATCACTGTCATGCATTCTTTTTGAAAAACAGTTTATTTGAGATTATAAACAATACAATGGGCATATTTGGATACTTAATCATAATCATTATTTTAAGTATATCGTACAGACGCATATGGTCAACATTTAGTGGTTTTCAGAGGGGATGATATGGATACTATTTTTACTTTTGTCCTACAGTAAAATTGTTGAGAAATTAATGAAGCACATATCTCACACTCTAATGTGTACTCGCACACAGCAGGTGTCTCACATTCTAATTGCGTACTCAGTGCACAGCAAGTGTATCACACTCTGTGTATTTGCACAAAGTGTGTCACACTCTCATTGTGTACTTACATGTAGCCACTGTGACTCTTTTTCCTTTCATCCCACCATCTATCATATCCAATAGGTCTGAAGAAATTAGAAATTAAAAACCCACACTTTCAGAAATGGTTACATTTCATCAGTTTTCTGTTATTACATTCATCATTTACTATAAATTTTAAGCCTATAAAATTATAGTAAATTGCTAAATTGTTTAAATAAGCAAAACTATTCCTTTAGTAGCTTAAAATATTACTATATGGTTGAATATAAATTTTACTACCTTAGTAACAGTAAAACATAAAAATGTTTAGTGAACAGCTTTGTAACCAGTAGTATATGTAAAATTCTACAATGTAAGGCAAACAAAACAGAATAAAGGTGTTGGCACATGAAGGTCAGACAAAGCAGAAATGAAGCTTGGGGGGTACGCTAAGGATGTGCTGGTCAGAAGGCTGAAGGAAAGCCAGAAGTTGAATTAATATTCTGCAGTGAGCAGTGCCATCGTGAAGCTGGACAACAAAAGGACTTGTGCATGTGGAAAGCAGGGATTGGAAGAAATTTTGTCCAGGTGGTGCATATGTCAAAAGTCATAGATCTTTGGAAACCAGGGTATGGACACAGTGTGCCATAAACAAGGGCAATAGCCAGTTGCTGACATTTTGAAGTTAATTCTCTTCTTTTTTTTTCTTTTTTAAAATTTGTATTATTTTTATTTTATGCATATGAATGTATTCTGAGTGTAAGTGCACCATGCACCATGCAATGCCCACAGAGGTCAGAAAAGGATGCGGAATCCCTGGAGTTATGGACGGTTGTTAGCCACCATGCGGGTGCTGGGAATTGAGCCCAGGGCCTCTGCAAGAGCAGTCAGTGCTCTTAACTGCTGAGCCATCTCTCCAGCCCCAATTCTGTGTCTTTTCTAATAGGTTAGGGAACTTACGGTTCCACCATAGCTTTGAGACCCTATCCTAACTTGGATGCCCTAAGCTATATTTTGGTTCACTACTTTACAAAATGGTTTTCATTCATTATTCCTAATGATTTCAATTACAAGTGTCAACTAAAATTTGTTCCATTTCCTGTTGTAACATGCCTTGCCTAAAGTTAATTTGTTGTATAAAAATTAGAATTTTAAAAAGAAACAAGTAGAGGTGAATTATTCCACTTTTACAAATACTGCATTTATTTTTCTTTATTTTTTCAATTATCCTTGCCTGTTCATACATTTATTCTACCTGCCTAGGAATGTAGAAATTTGGAGTGCCACGGTTCTTGACATAAAGCTGGTCTCAGTGTTGCTTGAGGCATCTACAAATATACTTGATGTTTTATTCTAACTGAGAAATAGTCCATCTATGCAGCCTCTGGTTTTCTTACTAGCAGCTCTGGTATTAGCCTTTTGTTTGGAACCAGGGGAAATCATGTAGCTTAAAAAAAAAAAACTTAAAAAAATGGATCCTTGTCTAAAGAGCAACATGCACTATAGTGCTTGCTTTCTGAAGAGATCTCTAAGTCTAAAATTCCTTCTGGACTGAAAGCAGAAAGTCAAGGTCAAGGTTATGTTTTCTTAGAAAGTCAGCAGGTTTCTTTACCAATCTCCTGCGTCATATATTCATATTCTTATTGAATACATAGTGGTATAGAGGGAAATAAAACCATATTTTACATATAATAAAGAAAACAACCCACAGCATTCTAAGACACTCCCTTAGCTATCTCCTCCTTTCTTCAATGTAGCAGTTGTTCATCCCAGAACCCACAGCTTTCTATCATGTTACATTTTAGAGAGCTTAAACATGATACTTTCAGTATCCATTTTCTTTCCTTCTATTAGAGCGAGCTGATTATTTTTTACTCCTATATATGTTCCACGATTACTCTTAGATTCAAATGAAACGAAATCAGAGCTCTCTTTATGAAGGACAAAGAAGGCTTGTTCTGGCAATGGGCTTTCACCCTTCTGGAGCTGAGGAAAACAAGAAAAAATAGCCACACATGAGTAGGAAGTCAACATACCTTCCTATGTTAGAACCCATTGGGGAATGATTATTTATAACTGATCTTTCTAGCAGGCCTGCTTATGGAGGGTGAGTAGAGGTGAAGGTAGAGGGCTAAGGATATGTGGCAGGGGTCAAAATTATTCACTGAGAGTCAGTACGTTTAGAGAAACAGCATGGCTTGATGTAGATGCAGCCCTTCCCGATTTGTGTCCCTCTTTGGCTGTGTACAGTCTCTAATACACTGGGCATGTCGCTTTATCTAGCAAGCCTCAACTTCAGTCTAGGTAGTTTTCTATCTAGATTAGTTAATTTATAATTTAAATGCAGACATATAAGTATTGTGATTATTTTTTAAAGATTTATTTTTAATTATATGGATGTATGTGTGCCTGTGTATAGGTATATGCACCAGAGTGTGGATACCCAGGGAGGCCAGATGTGTCAGGTTCCCAGAGCTGGAGTTACAGGTGGTTGTGAGCTTTTTGGGTATTGGAAACTGAATTTGGATTCCTCTGTAAGAGATGTACATGCTCCTAACTGCTAAGCCATCTCTCTAGCACTCATAAGTGATTATTATTTTAACACACCAAGTTTGGGGACAGTTTGTTTTATGGCAATAGCTGACCAATGTAATTACTCCTTCTTAGACTTACTGTGAGAATTAAAGAGACAGGGATTGTAAGTATTAAGCAAGACTTGGTATGCCATGGCACTAAGTATGAGCTAGTTTTTTGTTTTTGAGGTGTATATCTACTAGAGATTACATTATGTACACTTAGGAATATTTTGTAAAGAAGAATCCTGATCCCTGTCCATTGTTTATGTTGATGCCTTACATGGCTGGATTAGTTAGCTTGAAATTTTGTACATTTAAAGAAATTATCTTCTATATTATTAAACTCTCCTGTTTTCTTCTTTGCTTTGTGCTCTGGCTTGTTTGTTCTTTAGTATACTCAGAACTCTTTGTCATGACCAATGTTCTACTGTCATTTACTAAGTAAGAATGTGCAGTGAGTCAGGCTCAAACAAAGACTGTACTGCTGCCAGTAACGGCGGACATATGGAAATGCTTGCTGCCCTCCCTTGACAGACTTGGAGCATAAGATTGTTTCACAAAGAAACAATTCCTGGAAACATGAGCCCTAAAGCCACATAGAAGGAATGTGAGCTCATTCTTTGTGGAAGTGCTTTTCAAATTTTAGTGAAGCGATGAAGCTCCTGGAGGATTGTTAAGATGCTAACTCCGATTCAGTTGTGGGGAGCTTGAAATCCTGCTTTCTAACAAGTTCTCAGGTGATTCTGTGTTGCTGCTGGAAACCAGGCTTGTAGTAACAAGGCCACATATTACAATTCTCTCCCTTCCCTACTCTAAGAACAAGTCATTAGTAGTGACTGACAGTGTTTTATTTGTAATAATACAAACAAAATTTTGTTTTATAAATGTTCCTAGCATCCAAATATACATAATTGAGTAGAATCAATTGTGATAGTTATATATAATCATATTTCTGTTACCTCCACAGAGTGATCCTTGTCGTTGGCATGTAGGCAGATGTTTGTGTCTTTTATAGGACTCATGTTTACCATCAGCAGCTTACCACCATCACCTTACAGTGCAAATGATAATCATGTGAGTTCAGGCATTTGTTATTTACCTGAATCTAACCACTCTACTAGAACTATACATAGTAGATATTACAAAAGCTCATATTGTCCATGATTAATACAATTTACCTGTTAATTAAAAATAAAAAGAAAGAGCAAAATAAATTATAAATTAAAGTCCAAGACTTGTAACTCATCTTAACACCTATACCATGAATCCAAGATGTCAAGGAAAATAACTACTTTATCCATTTAGAAGTATTTGCATCCAAAGGAAACTAAAGAGTCATTATCAGGTAATTGGAGAGTATTTCTAAGTCCCTTGAAGGAGAGGGACTAGGTTTTTGTGTTCTATTGATATTGTTTTCATCTTTTCTAATTGAAGAATTGTGATTCCAATGGGTACAACTGTGAACATCAGCTTCCCTGTCTTCATGAGAGGTCACTGAGAGTTGTCCTCTAACACCCATGTCCTCTTAGATAATACTAGATCACTTTGCAGCCTGCCTTCTCATGGCTCAGTGTTTCCATAGGACTAAGTGCTGGCCAATTTGAGAGCAGACATGTCAAGTGCAGCTTCTAGCTATGCCCAGGGAACGAGGATGCAGGCATCCAGCTTTCTCTGTCTTGCTGATTAGACATTGGAATGTGGCAAGATCTTGAACCATTAGATGTGGCCAGGGCCATAAAGCAGAAGGAGCTGCCTCTTGACACCCTTCGTATAGAGCTGCCATTCTGGTCATAGCTAAGATAGACTTTATTATTGTAAATGTAGCTAAACCTTTAGTCTACTAATAAAAAAAATTAATGAGATGGAGTAAATTCTCTAAGAATTTAAGGTTTTACAGTGAGCTTGGGGTTGGAGAGAACTTTTTGAAGCTATCTTCCTTTCTCATAGAATATTTTGGTTCATCTTTGCTCCAAACTTGCCTTTAATCCTAGCGCTTGAGAGGCAAAGGCAGGTGGATCTCTGTGAGTTCAAGGCCAGCCTGGTCTACATAGTGAGTTCCATGACAGCTGGGGCTACCCTGTCTCAAAATAAGAACTCCCCCGAAAAAGAATTCAAGCACTACAGCTCCCCAGCCTACCTGATTCACTTGCAGAGTAGGGAGACTCATGGTAACGCAATAGCACCTTGTCTGAAAGACAGTGCAGAAAATCATTTTGTGAGATACAGTTTTGTCAAATGGCTTCAGTTCCATCCATGCCAGAAAACATCTCCTTTTATCATATACCAACAAAAGCAAAACTTCTGTGGTTCTCAGAGAGATCTTAAAACACAAGTATGCTCTATGAATTCCAACACAGTTGTTATCAAAATGTTGTTTATAGCTGTTGAATATTCTTATTAGGGATTATGCTTTGGTCATGCTGATAGGCTACAAATATCTAGTAGGTAATTCAGCATTAATAAATACATGATTCCCCTTTCCATATTTTATAACAGATATTTCTCAGTCCGTATTCTTCCCAGACGAAACTGAACCTTCTTAACAGAGTGATAGTCAGACAACCACTTGTCAGTGGAGTGGAATTTGCACAGATCATGAAATCCATTGCTACTATATATCTGAAATAACCCATTGTGGATAGCTTAGTAGATGCATTTTGTACCTTAGTCATCATTATTACATAATTATAGACACAAGGAAATAGTCTACCTTTTTCTTGGTCTTTTCCGGAATCTTCGACATTAATCACATAATCTCCATTCTCCAAAACAAAGCTAACAGATTGATCATTGTATGTGCTCAGGGAAGCACACGATTCTGTAACTAGTGAAATTGCTGTCAATAAAAAGTTTTTTTTTTTAAAAAAAAAAAAAAACAACTATATATTGTATGAAAGTCACAAAAAATTCAATAAAATTTTTTTCTAAAGAATTAAAAATACTTGCTTCCATGAACAATTCTTTTGGGCTATTTTTTAACTTTTTAAAAAATTTTTATTATTTTTATTTTATGTGTATGCATGTATTGCCTGCATTTAGGTAAGTGCACCCATGCTGTGCAATGCCTGCAGAGGTCAGATGAGGCTGCTGGATCCCCTGGGACTAGAGTTACAGACAGTTGTTAGCTGCCATGTGGGTGGTGGGATTCAAACCCAGGTTTTCTGCAAGAACAACCAGTATTCTTAACCACTGACCCATCTCTCCAGCCCCTCTTTTGGGCTATTTTTAAAAGTATTTCTCTGAGGATCTTTTTCTAATTTGAGCTGTACTTTGTCATCGTTACACAGGCAAAATCTTTGGGCACAAGCTCTATATAGTTCAAAGGCTGGTGTGTGATACCTAGATTGGATTAAAGGTGCTAGTGTCATGAATGGTGGAGGAAAATGAAAGGGAAAACTACCTCTTGGCTTCCCATGGGCTAGGAGACAATGGAGTGGATTTTGGAGACATGAGTACATGTGTGCTCCTTTATAAAGTGTGGTCACTTAGTGATTTCCAGCAATCCAGGGGAATGCAGGCGTAAGCCAGTTCTCTCCTCTGGCTCAACAACAGACACACAGAGATGGTGCTCCTAACTTTTTGTTGTTGTTGTTGTTGTAGATTTTTTATTGAATTTTTGTGTATTTCATACAGATCATCTCAATCAATCTTAATCATCTTTATACCCCCTTCCCCATTGGCTCCCTCCTATAGGCCCCCTGACTGGAATTCATACATTTTGTCATTTGTGTTAAGGCCTATTGCATCAAGTTAGTGTCCCCAGACATCCCTCAGTGAAAGTTCATCCACAGGTCCAGTCAGTCTAGCTAGAGTTCCTCCCTTTAAGAAGATCTGCGCTTCCTCACCCAGTAGTAATCAGCTGCCAATAGTTCTTCAACTAAGATTGGGGCTTGCTGCCCATTTCCACAGTTCTGTGCTGCGTTTTTGTCTGCTTGAGTTTGTGTAAGCCTTGTACATGCCGACACCATTGCTATAAGTTCATATGAGCAAGGTCTCAGTTCCCAAGGTTTTTTTTTAACATGATTGTGCATAAAGAAAATGACATTTTTTAAGCATATGGGGTTAAACTGAAACATATTTAGACTATGGGTCCTACATTAAAAATGACTATATTTTCTATATATTGTAGAATCATGGAAAGAAATATGATGCACGAAATAAGAATTTATATGTGAGCATCTAAAGGAAAGGGATTTGAAGCAGCTCATGAGAAATGTGAGTACATTGAGACAATATATTTGTATCAGGACTAAAATGGCAACAGAAATTCCTAGTCAAGTGTCCTTTAATAGTGGCGTTTTCAGTTATTAGTTTCCCAACAGTGCTGGAGATCCAGTTCAGGCCCTTGCCCACACTAGGTAAGTGCTCTATCACTGAATTACATTCCCTGGCCCCTCTTTACTTCATGATAATCATTATTTGGAACTTTACACAAGTGATAAAAAATTTAAATTAAACTATTCTTTTTTGTTTGTTTGTTTTTGTCTTTTTTGAGACAGGATCTCCCTGTAGCTCCAGCTGGCCTGGAACTCACTATGTAGATCGAGCTGGCCTCGAACTCACAGAGATCCTCCTGCCTCTGCCTCCTGCGTCCCAAGTGCTGGGATTAAAGGTATGTACCACCATGCCTGGCTGAACTATTCTTTAAACTATGTCAAATGTTGAAATTATATTTTAAAAAGTAATAGTTCTCCATTTCCTTTCATGGTGAAAAATCTGAAATTTGGAGGATGAATGTATTTTTTTTCAAAGCATATTGTCAGCTAATATATATATAGGATTCCAGTCTATAACAAGCATTCCAAAATAATGATGACATGTTAGCAATGCACACTGTCAGAGCAGCTACACTGCACCCGGTTTAGATGCTGTGATACCACTCAACTAGCACACCAGCAGCAGGCAGAATTTTCTGATACATGTGAGAACTCACCCTTGAGCTACCTGGTGCAGCTCTTGCCAAGGTCGTATTTCTTACCTTCTACCTCACTTCCCACCCTCCACAGTGCCCCTGTGATCAGTCATACCTTGAATATTTGACTTATTATATACTGTGTCAAAGACGGAGTTCTGTAAAACAGGCTGATGATAGCCAGAGAGCCTTTCTTTGAGCTTTGCACCTGCAGAACAGCAGTCAGGGTTGGGATAAACCATCAGTGCTCATTCTGTAGTGATGCCATTCCTCCTGATGATCCCCTAGGCTGGGCACTGTGGCGACAGTGGTAAGTGATCCCAGGGTTTTGTTCACCCCCAAGGTCTGATGGAGTCAGTACCTCCTTAATCAGGAGGGCTTCGCTTTTAAAGTATTTTTCATTCACATGCCAACAGAGCACTAAGAAGAAAACTAGTGGCTGCAGCCTCAACACTCAAAAGTAGCCACTGTTAACCATTTAGTTTACATCCTTTAAATTTAAAAAAATTACCCCAAATATTATAATCATACTTATATATAATTTTGTATCATCTGTTCTCACTCATCATTATAACCATTTCCCCCATGCAATTAAGAACCCTTTAAAAAATGGCCAACAAATCATTTATCTTTATTCTTTTCCACAAGGAAAATCTGGGTGAGAAAAGTAAAGGCTCATCACTATGGCCAGAATGTACTTACCATTTTTTATTGAATACCTTTTGGTGGTTTCTTTACTAAAGTAACAGGTCTCCTTTTTTATGATGAGACCAGAGCGTAGTCTCATAGTGTATACATGGCAGATTTCTTTCGTCTTATGTTGAGAGCCTAAAAAATTGAAAAGAAAACCCTATGATATGTTTCATTATATCTGTCTTTTTACAAATCTTAAATGTTGCAAGCCAAGAAGGCAAGATCCACAACATTAGAAACTCTTGGGTCCAGTTGTGCTTAAACTGCAGAGCGGTTTAGAATTTAGATTTACTGTGTAGATATATACCTTAAATCACAAAAATTCTTTCAGAGTCAGATAGAAATGAAAATAATAACATATGCATTGTAAGATCTCAATACTCAGTGTTACAGTAAATGAATTATCAAGCAATTTATACAATGCAGTCAAATTTCAATTATCTCTAGTATTCAAAAAAGAAAATATTTATTATTTTGGGATCCATTCTATGGCTTTTTTAATTCTACAGATTATTTTCCTCCCCAATATACTGCTTTAGAAGTCAAACAGAATAATCTTGTTTAAGTTGTTTTGAATTATCCACATTTTGTCTATAGTTCAAATAAGCAACCAGTTATCTTATCAGAGAGTATCTTTTCTCTGAACAGGAGCTAGACCACTTAATTATCTTCTCACCAATCCTGGACTTCCCTAACATTACTTCATAACTCAGAAATTTCTGTTATAGAATCTCACATTTACAATACTTTTATAGTCACAAAAAATAATTTGCAACAGTAACTAGTGCCAGAGCTGGCACTGAACTTGGCCTCCTTATAACTAACACACTTTAGTAACAGCGCCACATTACCCATTTTAGAGCTGAAAAGCCAAAAACCATACATGCTCACTCCTCAGGTGCTTATCTTTCATGTGTAGTCAGCTTCACATGGGACATGATGGGCATCTATAATAGTGTGATTCTAGGGAGCAGGATATGGGTTAGGGTCATTAGAAATAAGGATCATACTGTTCAGGAAATAGTGATCCACACAGAAGCAAGCTAATGTACATGCAGGGTTAGCATCTGGTAGGAGAGGCACTAGGTATAATTAGTGGGGATGTGATTACTGCCTGATCTCTGGCAGCAGTGTCTCAGCTCACCAACAACAAAACCATATATACGATTTATCACTGTCCTTTAAATGGTATAGTAGGACCATTGTACCCATAATGGAGGGGTTACATTTTTAACTCTGGTATCAATGTCAGAAACTCTGGCATGACAACTTCACAATACAAAGACAGTCCATGATCTAATACGAAGGAATTTGGAACACTTCCAATGAGTCACTGTTTCTTCACAGAGCATTTTGACACAACTACAAGCGAGGATTAACTTAATTCTGTTTCCAGGCCATTGAGAAACCTCAGTCAAATTAGTTTTTCACCCTGATTACTAAAGATGAGCCTGGGTGAGCCAGAGCCTCAGGGAGGCCAGAAGGAGTTACTGCTTTCTCTTCTGGCTTCTCCTTTCCTCTCCTTACCTGCCTCTCTCTCTTTCTCTCTTTCTCTCTCTCTCTCTCTCTCTCTCTCTCAACTCTCCTTGGCACTGCTATTCCAATACAAAAAAATTCTATAAATATTTATGACTCCTTCCTAAGTAGTTGATGTTAAGAATTGAAGAACCTTACAGTCCCGTCATCTCTGAGCTATATCTAATTCTTAACTTTATTTCTCTTTCATCTCATTCCAAACTTTGTAACTGGACAGAATTTTAAAAAATATGTATTTTATTTATTAATTTTATTTTATGTGTATGAGTGCATTGTCTGCACGTAAGTGCACCCATGTCATACAAGGCCCATGGAAGTTAGAGGGGGGAACTGAAGTAACAAATGGTTGTCGGCTGCTGGTGGGTGCTAGGAACCGAACCTGGGTCCTCTACAAGAGCAGAAGTGCTCCCAGCCACTGAGCCATTGCTCCAGCCCCTGTAACTGGATAGATTTGAGCATCATTTGGCCCATTCTGCTTTATTTGAATTGTTCAGCTATTTTCACTTGTCATTCTTTGCTTCATCAATAATCATTAAGTCAAGACCACAAGCTTGATATACCAAAGGTCTTAACAAATGTATTGAATGAAAGCAGATCAATTTAGAATTTTGTTAGTTAATTAGGGGAAATGTTTTGGAGATTTGATGACAGGAAGGGTGAAGGGGTTGATATAAAAGACTTTTGTTAAGTTTACACTCTTCATAGGCTTAAATTATCTAAGCTATTTCTATCCTGTCATCTACCAAATAAGCAAAAGTGACCAAATAGACTGTTCAAAACCAAGCCTTCCATATTGTATTCTTATGGACCATCTTCTCTTCTTTCACTTCTTATATTCTTAGGGGTTTGGGGTAAGGTTGCATGTCTGAAGATGGAAATAACAAGTGTTTGACACTAAAAACAATATATAAAGCGGGGATGCTGAAGTTCTTACTTCTCAGCTGGCAAGGTTTTGCCAGGGTTTTGTCTGCGGTGTTGATCAGCTTTGCTGAGGAAATTTTGGAGGTTGAATACTTCATTTTAGGCTTCATTTTCAGGTTTCTGTTGATTAAAATGTAATATTAAAAAGTAATATTCAACTGTGTCTAACCTGAAAACCAATAGAAACAACCCCAGGTAACTCAATATGAAATTGATAACCACACAACAAAAATAATTATTCCAATAAAATTCGAGCATAGTATGTTGACTGTATACTTAGAGACTGTAGCCATAGAAACAAAAGAACAACAACAAATCTTACTAATAGATTTTTTGCTAGTGATAATATTTGTATTGAAATCTTAGAATTGCTTTGTTATAGTACAGAGCAAAAAATTGATGTTATATTATTTTCACTGAAGGGGAAAAGAAATATAGTCATGTAATTACAGAAGCCAAGGGAAAGCCCCTGTAATGTTAAACTTGAGTAGGTAATAAATAGATGCCCAGCAGTGTGTACCCATATCTTAGTTTCTAAATACTTTCTTCACTAAAAGGAACTACGACTCTAGATATGGGACTGAAAGAATAATAGCAAACATGAAACACTGTGTTGTGCCAGAAAACAGGAAGTCATTAAAAACTAGTGAGAGTGTGTCAAAAGCATTTTGTAAGCCACCTTGGAGAGTGTCCAATAGCTTGGTTCTAGAAAGCCTTACATTCAGGGCAGGAATTTGGTCTGATAGTGACTCCTCCCCAACTGCTCACTAGCATTAGAGAAAAAGGATCCTTGCTTTGGAATGCTGTGATCAGCAGCCATCTTAAGAAAGGGCCTGTTTAAAACAGTGCAAGACTGGAGCTCTGAAAACACACATCACCATCCTGAGTCAGGGTGCCTGGGGGACATTCTGCCACAGTGACTGGGCAGGAGTCAGATGTGGATGTGTGTGTGTGTGTGTCTCACAGTGATCAGTGGTACTGCTGTCTGTGGTGAGGAGCGTGATATGTAGCTTGAGGGTTACTGCAGAGACTGGCCTCCACTCCTGAGACTGGCCTCCACTTGGAGGCTGGTGGATGATTTGATTTCTCATGCTTCCTCCTTGCCTCAGGGTGGTTTACTATAGGGCAGCTCTGAAAGCACTAAAACCAAGGCAGGTAGACTGTATGAGTCTCTTGGCTCACAGGCTCTTGGTTTCCAGTGCATAACTCGGTGCTCCATTTGCTCCCTTCACTCTCCAGTGAACTAGGTGGTAGGTACCTCAGGCTTGGAGTTGCCATACTCAAGAGTGTAGAGACTGAGAGGCTCTCTGGAGTGAATAAGAACCCACCTGGCCTACAGGATGCAGAGATCATTGGGAGAGGCAAAGCCTCCATAAACATAGCCCTTAGTGCTGACAGAGTGGCCTCCTCTAACCCCAATCTGCATAGTGGGGACATGCAGCAGATGTTATGTTTCCACAGTAAACATAAACTAAAGCAATTCGTGGTCCCCACCAAACCTGGGAAAATCCCTTTAGCTCTTTGTCTTACCTTTCATTTTTTCTTTCATTTAAAATATTTTAAATTATTTTTTATTATTCTAAAATATTGCTTTTTATTTTTTATTCCTCTTCTGTCAAATTTTATTTTTTTCTTTTATTTTATAATTGGGTTTTTAATCTCTTTCTCTCTTCTTCCTCGCATTGTCTCAACCTTAACGCAGTTTCTTAAAACATTGGTCTTGCTTCTTTCTTTTTGCCCTTTCTCCATCCCCTTTTATTTTATTATTACTTTTACCTTTTAAAAAAACTTCTTAGTTGATTCTGTATCATCTTCTGTGTCTTTTCTATGGATATTGGTTGTATATTGTTGTCAATAGTTGGTCTTTATTGTATTTTTATATTAAATTTGTTCTGGTGGTGTTGTTGCTATGACTGTTTTCTCCTCTTCTAGTGACAGTTGGTATTGAGCCTTCAAGAGAACTTGCTAAGATGGCCCTCACATAAATGTAGACAAGATATCCATCTCCACATATCCTCAAATCTCAACATAGAAACACAGGAAATATGAGAAAATAAGTGATATTGCTTTTGAAAAAGATTATAACTGTTAACTGAATATAAAGACACAGAAGTGAGTGATATCTTGGACAAAGAATTCAAAAAGCTGATTGTAAAAATGACAAATGATCTTAGGATACAAATAAAGAGCTGAATGAAGCAAGGGAATAAAAGCAGGACTTGGATGAGAAATTCAGCAAAAAAGGATTCTGGGAAAATGGCAAATGGAAGTCTTGGAAATGAGAAGCTCAGTAAATAAAATACAAAGTTCATTGGAAAGCATCACCAACAGACTGGATCAAATGGAAGAACTACTATTAGGCACTGAATATAAGATGAGAGGAAGATGCCAGCAATACAGGCCAAATATACAGAAAAAGTATTCAGGAAAATAAGGAGAAAATTTCCCAAACATATGGGAAAATATGGACATTTGATTCCAGAAGGCACACAGAACCTCTAATAAGTATGACCAGAAAAACACCTCTCCACCTCATGCCATAAGTTACCAAGAGTACAGAGCATCAACAGAAGACACAGACAGCTGCAAAATAGAAGTGAGAAGCCCACTAAAATAAGAGCATACTTCTCAGCAGAAACCTCAACACCAGGAGAGTACAGAATGATGTATTTCAAGCCTTGGAAGAAAATAACCACCAATGGTGATCACTATATACAGCAAAGCTGACCTTTAAAATTGAGGGAGAAATTAAGAATTTCCACAGTAAACATAAACTAAAGCAATTCGTGGTCCCCAAACCTGCATTGAAGAAGATAGCTAAAGGAATACTATGCACAGAGACTGAAGACAGATATACACAATCATGAGAGCTCAGGAAAAACTAAAGAATTGATAAACACTGAGACTGAAGGTATAGCTCAGTGGTAGAACATTACTTACCTAAAATGTCCAAAGTCCTAGGTTCAACACACAGAACTGGGGGGAAAAGTTTACATAAACAAATGAGAATTAGGACAGAATAAAACATTGTTAGCAAACCTGAAAACCTGTAAGTTGAATGTGGTACAAATAAGAAAACATAGACTATTCAAACAACTGGGGAGGGGTTGGGGACACACAACAAAATATAGGATTTAATACATACCTTCCAGTAATAACCCTAAATATAAATGGTCTTAACTGCTTCAATTAAAAGATTTAGACTGGCTGATTAGATTAAAAACAATATCCAGTTGTTTTCTGCAAGAAATTCACTTGATCAGAGTATGTGCATGCAGAGAGAGAGAGAGAGAGAGAGAGAGAGAGAGAGAGAGAGAGAGAGAGAGAAAAGAAAACTGATATTATAAGAGAGAGATATTCTAAGCAAGTGGAATCCAAAAGCAGGCAGGAGTAGCTACTAGTAATGACAACGCAAACTTTAGGCCAAAATTCATCAGAAGCAATAAAGAAGGCCACTATGCATTAATAAATGGAGCAGGCTATCAAAAAGACATAACAACTATAAATATACACGTGCACCCAAATTCATGAACCAGACACTTTTGGATGTAAGGGGAAAGACAGTCTGGATATAATTGTCAATAGATAGATGAAAAAAATGGCAAAGAAACCTCCAAGTTAAACTACATCATAAATCAGATGAACTTAGCAGGCATCTGCAGAATAGTTCATTCAACACCTGCAGAGCACACGTTTTCTCAGCAACCCATGAGATTTTTTTAAAAAATAGATCATATTTTAGGCCATAAATCAAGTCTTAACATATGCAAAAAGAATTGAAATAATTTCTTGTATCTTATTAGGTCATAATGGAATAAAACTAGAAATCAGTAGCAAGGAAAGCCTCAGAAAATATACAAATATATAGAAATCAGACCAGAATTTTTAAAATAATCAGTGGGACATTGAAGAAATCAGAGGAAATTTAAATATTCCTTGAATCAAATAAAAGTGAAAACACAGCAGTGAAGGAAGTAAGGATTAGAGCTAAAATTAATGAGGGGGAAATGAAAATATTACAAAGCATTAATGAAAGAAAGGGTGAGCTATATGAAAAAGTAGAGTACCAAATCCTTACCAAGCTAACTAAAAGGAAGAGGAAGACCCAAATTAATAAAATTAGACAGGAGGAAGGGAATGTTGCAATAAATATTGCTGAAATCCAGAGGATCATGAGAGAATATTTTGAAAATTTATATTCCAAATTAGAAAGTCTAGAAGAGATGAGTAAATTCCTGGTAGACACATATAACCTATTAAAATTAAACCAAGAGGATATAAATAACCTAAACAGATCAATAATCAGCTGTGAGATGAAGCAGTAATAAATGGTCCTCAAGGAAAAGCGCAGGACCACACAGATTTACTGCTGAGTCCTACCAGATGTTTAAAAAACTAGCACTGATGCTTTTCAAATTATTTCATGAATACATAGTAAGTATTCCAAAAATCACCCTATGAATCCTGTAAATTTGTATGGCCACTACAGCACTATAGAAATCAGAATAGATGTTCCGAAGAGGTCTAAAAGCACAGCTACCATATTGGATTCAGCTATGCTACTGTTGAGTATATACTTGAAGGAATTAGTCAGCATACAGTAGAGATATCTTCATACCCATATTTATAGTGATGCTGTTCACAATAGTTAAGTTATAGGATCAGCCCTGGTGCCAATGAATGAACAAATACACAAAAAAATATTGAATATACACACAATGGAGTACTATTCATCAATAAAGAATATGGAGATCACGTGACTTTGTGTGGGTTTTTTTTTTTGTAGAAAATGAATGAACTAGAGATCATCATGTTAAGTGAAATAAGGTAGACTCAGAAACACAGGTGCTGCATGTTTTCTCAAATATGGAATCTGGAACAACAATGACATGGAAGTAGGAGGAGATTATTAAGGAAGAGAAAGGGGTGGGGGTAAGAGAGGACCATGGGGGTGAATTTAATACAAGTATATGCATATGTCACAATGAAACCAATAATTTTGTATAATTCATATATATTAATAAAAAGACAAAAAGTCAAGCTAGGTCACATTATCATACTGAAATAATACAGTTCTCTGTCATAAGCTTTAGGAAGCTCTATTTTCTTTCACTGTGTTC